CAGCCCTCACTTTCTAAAAGAACTCTACCGTATCGTTTTCGTACCTAGCAAATATTTGATAATCAATAAATAATTAAAATCACTTACTATATAATTACAATTCTCCATTCACAATGCCAACAAATACGTGCATACAATATTGAGTAATAAGACCCTTGGCTGGTATTTGTTTGGGGGACAGAACTTGACGGCGACAATGAAATCCACCAACCAAAATAGATATGCCAAATTAAGTTCTTAGCGATGGCCGGAGTTCACTTTGACATTTGGCAAAACAATGGAATACACCCGCCAACACACGCCCATATACATACATACGCACAGACACTAGATTAGGGCGTTAATGGTAGCAGTGAAAGCCATTGAATCCATTGTTTCTTGCTCACTTGGGGCTGGCGCGGAGATTTTGGGGTGGAAGTAACCGCTCTGGCAAGTGGTTTTGCTGTCGTTGATCGCATTAACGCTACAGTGCGTCACATTGAATTGCAAATTGACCGTAAGATTATTCACAACACTACCCCACCCATTCTCATCGCACTGCAGTTGCGTTGGCGTAAAACTGTGTGCAGAGCGGCAATGGAAAATGATTGGATTGGACGCTGTGAATGTATTTTATGTTTTAATTAAAATATTAAAGTATAACAAATAGTTGAAAGTTGTTTAAAATCTGTATGTAGTAGAAGGAAAGCTGACAAGTTAAAGAACTTGAAGTGCTTTGTAACTTGAGGGAAATTTTCTGATGCTTTGGATCAAGGACTTAGTCAAATTTTATTGAATAGTTTCGTAATTTCTTTCATGGCGAACGATATACTGCGAACAATCAGAAGTAGGCCAATAGCATAGCGGAGAAGCACGCTAGAGGCGAATTCAAAAGGCAGGGTCCTGCGGCTAATGAGAAAAGCTTCGCGTACGGCGATAAACCGCTTTACATGGCTGAAGACATGGTTGAGACGCATTCTCTTCTGTAAGGCTAGGTGTGATAGCCTGACCGTCCTTTTGTTGGATCGTAATGACCCCTATGGGCAGATGACCTAGCGAAAATCCGGGGAAACCCATGCTGGTTTAGCGTGGTCAAGCCCATTAAATGCGCCGACAGTGCTAAACTTTTATGGCTAAAGGGAGTGTTTCCAAACCTTCAAAGGCGAGGTTACAACATGCGCCTAGAGGTGCTGGAAAATAGCTCTGATCCCAACGATTTCGAAAGCGAAGGTACGGATCCGGTGTGTGTTGAATTCTGAAGGCGCCCTGCGAAAGTTTCGGGTACAAAACCCCAACATACCGGAATTAAAAGGTATTTCACGTATCTATGCAGACGGAGGAGGATCAGAACTTTTTCCTTCAAATCAGTAAAGAGGAAGCAGAACTGCTATATCCCGAGCATGGCCAAATATCGTGGGATATATGAAGTATTTTTCTACGGTTAAAGAAGCGTAACCCGAAAGATTATAACGCCAACACGCTAGAAGTTGGGAAAGTTGAGAAAAGACTTGGACTTGACATCTTAACTGACCTGAATATAGCGGAAGAGGCAACCAAACATAGCAATGAGGCGATGGAGATATCGAAGCATTTGTGGGGCCAGCAACACGCTAATTTTGAAGGTCATTCACATCATCCTTAAAAGCGATAAGTTGGCTGTGAATGAGCTTTTCCTAATGTAGAAGGAAAAGTCGTTCGATGTAGCTTTAGTCCAAGTGCCGTGGCTTGCTGCTGGCGAGGGGGTTTCTGGATTCATTTCAGGAAAATGTTCATATTACATGAAGTCAGAAAGCAGAGTGAGAGCCGTGATTAAGGGAAGGAAGGATCTACACTTATATTTAATATCCAATTAGATACAGCACAGAGCGATTTTGGCTATCGAACGAGAGAAAGAAGATGCAGCTTCCTGCTACATGGCATAGAGTACTGAAGTTCCACAAACGAGTGGAGTACCTCGGTGGAAGACTCTAAACGCAGAGGACAACATTCAGACAAATCTTTGAAGATAGGATAATGACACTCACGCGGCTGCAGACCTCAGAGAAACCCGAAAAGGCTTATATGCACTTAACAGCTTTCCTAGATCAAACTTTAGATCAAATGTTAAATTTAATATTAATCATTAACTGACGGTCTTACAATAGCAATTTAAGTGAAAAATTATTAGATTTTCTGTCAGTTTCCATACTAAAGTCAAATATGTAAAAAAAATAATTTTTCTATTAAATTGCTTTCGTGAAACTGGCTAAAGGTCCCCAACACCTTCCTGTAGTAGCCGCCATGCGATAGTTCGCTACATATTAACCATAAAACGTTCATTTTACTAGGTCGATCTTCTCACTTTTGCTCTACCGAAAGAAAAAAATAATTAGTTCATATTTTTCATGATTAATTACCCTAATATAAAATTAATGCTAGTCATTCTAGCTTATTTTCGACAATGTGCGATAAAATTGCCAACTATGACCTGTCACTACTACACAAATATGCTGAGTGCACACTTAAATACAAATTTAAGGACGAAGGATGCACACAAACACGACAACACAAATATTTTCCAATACTCAGCTTATCTTCATTTGTACGCAAAGCATACATTCGTATGTATAAATATGTATGTATGTATTGTCAGACATTGACTTGTTATATATGTATATATATATATATATATATGATATACCTATCGAAAATGCACCAACTTTGTTGCTCGTCGCAACTAAGATCGCACGCGTCTATTGAATAATTAAGTAACTTACCGTTTTTGACGCAAACAGGATAGCATCTCCTCGTTGTCATCGTTTAAAGGACAATTCAGTGTGTGAGCAATTTGCATAGTTAGTTGAAGCGAATGATTACTGACCGCCCAGTCTGACATGGCGGAGCCCGACATAAGAATTGCCCGATGGAAGAGTCCTGTTTTCACACCGTAATGCCAAGAATACGTTATACGAAAGCAATGGCGATAATATGTCGATACGAAATAATATTAAAAAGAGAAGTGAAAAAAAATTAAAATACAAAATGTGTTGTGTTAATTTGCCATAAATAGCTCCAGGAGCAAGTTACAATATTGGACGCCTACCGGATGCAACAGGCGATATCATTAAATAATTAACACACGCCGCGCCTGTGCTATGTCCCATGAGCGTGACGCTATCTTTATCGCCGCCAAACGAGGCGATATTTTCTTTAATCCAATGCAATGCGGCAATTTGATCAAGTAGTCCGAAATTCGCCACCATATTCTCGTCAATGCTTGGCTTCAGGAATCCTGTTAAATGAAATTGAGGAGGAATAAGTGAAATGAATACATACGAAAGGAGGATGAAAAATAATTTTAAATATTTAATTTTAAATAGGGTGACACTGTGTTATGATGCGAAAATGTACATCAATAAATATTGGAGTAATGCATATATCAAGGGTAAGTCCACAAAAACGGCGCTCTATGAGATTGCGAGGTATATATAAAAATCTCTATCCCTCAAGGAATATAGTCTTTTAGCATTCTTAGGAAATAACGACAGCGCTGGCGGATCTGGACGTAGATTCGCTACTGGTGACGCTTTTACTCTGATGGGGTTATCGACGAGTGGATTTGGCAGTAAGGGCGCCGCACAAGGTTTAGTCCTATTTTCTCTCGTATGGATCTTGGAAGCCAACCAACGGCTCTGGTGCATGGAGGAGGAGGAGGACTGCAATGTCATTACGTACATATGCTGCCCTGACGACCTTGCCTTAGTCGTAAGTGGAAAATTTCCGCATGTAGGGAATACTAAGTACGATGAAAAAGTGAGCCAAGGAAAAGGGTCTAGGAGTAAACCCAAGCAATACTGCGCTTGTATTTTTTACCAGAAGGTACAAGGTTCCAGTTGGGTTCCACTATGGCAAATACGGAACTTGCGTTCAGTGAATCGGTGAAATATCTTGGGCTGATACTGGATAAGAAGTTTAACTGGGCACAGAACACATATGAACGTCTGCGCAATTCTACGGTTGCTCTCTATACCTGCCGTCTATACCTGTCCACTCCCCCAGAATAGTCTATTGGTTATATACTGTCGTGGTTAGGCCAATACTTTTATATGGCTGGAAAGCGAATCAGTGCAGTCATATCTCAATTCTGGAACGGATAAGTCTGCCGGAAATAACGGATTATTTCGTGCCGACAACGACCTTCCACAAAAGGTATAAGGTAACAATCCCTAGCAGAGAGCAATGGAACCGTGGCGTTTCGGGACTCGCAGATTCTATTCGGTTCTACATTGATGGATACAAATTGGATAACAAAGTCGAGGTGGAGTGTGCTCGGAACAACTAAGAGTACAAAAGTCATTCCACCTTCCGGACCACTGTAGCGTCTTACAAGCAGAGCTCGCGGCCAAAGAGGAGGCTGCCGAGTGCTTGAGGACAGGAGCAGTAGCGTACAATAACATATACATCTTTTCAGACAGCAACTCGTAAATTGTAGTGAGCTGCCGCATATCACTCAACGCAACGGCAGAGTAGTCCACCTGGCACAGAGGTAAATCAGGCAATGAAATGGCGGATGAGCTTGCAAGGAAGGACCCTTCCTTTCCACTTTTGCCGTCTTGGAAGAGGTTGGCTATGTTGCTCGCTACCTACAGGCTCAATATACAAATTAGTCTTTTCCAAAGCAGGTGTTAAATAATAAAATGGTCAAAAATCAACGGTATTTTCTAGCCACTTCAAACTTATACTTTTTTACACTAAGATAAAAAATGCAAAATTGCATACGAGAAATTTTTCTAAAAACTTTGAATAAAAATTTTAAAAATTTTGTGAAAATTTGTCGAAATTTACAATTTTTGTATAAAGTTTGAAAAGAGGATTTATATGGTGTTTGTTGTATAGCCAGCCAGGCTTTTATAAAAAAATATTAAACATAAAATATACCATGGAATTATAGCCAAAAAACTTTTCAAAGTAAGGCGAGTCTATTCTAATGACCACAAGTGCCTATCTGCAAGATGGTAAAAATCGGTTAACTTCCACGCCCACCAGCCATCCAAAGGTCGTATTCTAATGTGACTATGACTGGAAACTGTCCTCAAAGATAGCAACTATTGCATAAAAATACAGAAATAATAAAAATAGTGTGAGTTGTCGACCAGACACGTCCCTTTTACTAGTGGGAAATACTACCTGATTTTATTAATATTTTATTTTATTTTATGTGCACCCAAAGCTGAAAATATTATGAGTAAGTCATTAACTTTGGTGATTTAAAAGGTTTTGCTGGCACACTACTGTGTACATTTAAAAATTAATAGATATTCATGTTGCTCCTTACTTACGTATGTATGCACATATGTTAGTACATATACAATATGTACATATGAATAAGCACAGCAAATAAAATTCCCTTTATTCACATTTACTCTTAGTAATACTTACTTATATCTACTTATAAAAGCATCTGTGCACTTACCCATTACTCCAAGCCGATAATTGATGGTAACAACAATGACTTGACCATAGCTTGCGAGCACCGAACCATCATAAGGATTACCACTATTCCATTCAAAAGATTCCCCATGCACGTACACCATCACTGGTAAGCGTTTTACGGATGTGTCCATATCGTAGGCGGACATTGAATCGAATATACCATCTGCGACCAATACAAAGAGAAGGTATTTGGTATTAAATTTGTCAGAGCTAAATGGATTGCTAGAGAATGACGTGCGAGAAAAAGGAGACGGACATTCTGTCACACCTACCAGTAAGTATGTTTATATGTAGGCGTACACACACCGGTACATGCCAGAAGGTTAAGCAAACGCATACTGGCCTTGCCAAACAAATTTATACGTAGGTACCCTGCAAAAAATTGTGCGACGAATTTCCAAAGAGAATATTCCGGGATTAGTCTCAATAGGGTACAATAAAGAGTCACTACGGGTATGACTGGAGATAAATTACACCCCGACTCATCTCTTGCGGTCAAAATTAACGATGTAATGATATGTAAACACATACACAGCTTAGCGCAAACTTGAGATCCTCGAATTGAAAATCGAAATCGAAAATTTAGTTACTTTTAAAACCCATTCGGGTATTAAGGCGAAAAGGGATCAATTAATTCCACATAAAGAGCTCAAAAAAGTATTATAAGACGCAAGTTGCTTTCCGATTGCTTCCTTAGTCTTCCCGGATTTGTCGCATTTTTTGCAGGTATATTTATGTACAGTAATTGTACTTACCCACTCTTGGCACATACACATTCAGATATAGACAATCCTCACTTTCTGTCTTCAGGTAAGGTAGCAGACGTGTCAATTGCTTGTAACGACCGCGTGACATTTTCACACTTCCCTGCGCCGTAACATCGGGCAGCTGTTGTGGGCAGACGGGCGGAAAATGCCGTGCGATTTTCAATCCTTGCCACGGCAGGGGTGCACCTGTAAGAGCGAAAACAAGAAAAGAAAATTATATAGAAAAAATCAAATAAGCAAACGAAAATGATGAGAAATGTGTTAATAAAAATGAAGTAGCAAGGAAAATGATAAATGAGGGAATAAATGAGAAGATATGTGTGGAGGAACTTCAAATAAATAACAACGATTTAATTAATTGTGCATACACATATATGAGTAAAAGAAAATGCTATATGCAGTGGTTGAAAATAAATTCGGAAATATGTATATATATGTACATATACAGTGGCGAAAACGTGAATAGGGAAGAGACATTTTGGCAAGTTCTGGCTAACTTTCTTTGTTTAAAAAATTGTGTTATTTTTTTTTAATGTAGCTTACTTTCTAAAACAATGAATAAATAAAAATTTTAAATTTTTTAAACAGTATTATGCGTTCCAAAGCGACTTGTTTATGGTAAACCTCTCCACATTGACTGCTTGTATATTAGTGAAAAAAGTATCTCTGCTGTATTAAAGTATTATGTATACCAGAGAAAATGAATAACAGTAGTTAAATTTCAGAATTAATTGTTCGCAATGCTTTATTCGAATAAATATTATCCCTTTTGAAGATACCATATCCTCGAATTTCATCCTCCTAAATTTATGAGTTGGGGATAAAAAAATTAACTAAAAGGAAATTTTAAAAACCTATTCTTCCTTGTGAACTAAACACATTTTTTTTTAATTCTACAAAATGTTTTCCTTCGGTTGGTATCGGTAATATTGATCTATATTTAAATGATTTTTTTTAATAATTTTTTGTAATAAAATTGTATCTGAAATTTCTTAACGCACCCATATATTAGTATTTGATACACCTTTTGTATAGTTGAATTAAATTTCACCTTTCAAATACGCGGCAACCCTCTTGAAAATATTTTCAAACTGAAATCTCCTTAATCCTATATCGTCTTACACCCATACATATTTAAATAACTGCATAGCTTTAATTCACCTTTAGTTTGATGTTTCAAACAGGTGGCAACTCTCCTGCATGTAGTTTGGATATAAAGCCCTTTGAAAACCATTTCGATTGAAATGCATATTGTAGTAATTCATTAAATGTTTGAGTTAACTTTAATTCAACTTTTAAAATAGGTGGCAACTCTTTTTAAACACCACACTAATAGTCTAACTGTTAAAATTAAAGCTTTCAATTCACTCTTGCTTGATACTCATGTTTTAATATTTCACAAACCTAAATATTTCGGTCAGGTGGCAGCCCCCTTCCAAATATTTTCATACAAAAACCTCATAAAGCTTCTCTCTTCCGGAATTCATACTGCGAATATTTCAATTATGTAATTTCCTTGATTGGAATTGAATTTGATTTTTTAACAGGTGGCAACCCTATTACATTCAGTAAAAAAATAACGCCATTGCCATTAATACTTGTATTGCACGAATTTATTTAAGTTTTTAAATAATTTGAATTAAATTTTTTAAAAGGTGGCAACTCTTTTCGAAATAGATAACCATATTGCACATTTACAGACCTAGCTGTTTAATTTGGTTTTAATTTTTTAACAGGTGGCGCTCTTTAAAAAAAAAACCTTATTGCACAGCTACAGCCCAATACCTTTAAATTGTCACCTCATTTTTGAAAATTGAACGAACGGTGCAGATTTGATGACCTGGAAAAAAATCCCTTCACGTATTACATATATAGATTATATAAATAAATGTAGATTCGTAAATGGTTACCCAGGTAGGGGGGTTGGACAACACCGTTTATTAATTTGGATTGGGCACACTAAGGTTAATTAAATTTTTCTTGCTGCAGTTGACAGTGTTTTTACCAAAAAAAATTTAATAAGTGTCAGAAAGGTCGTTAGTGAGCAGTGTAATGTATTGAAAAATATTAACCCTCCGATGAGTGACAGTGCCGATGACGTTAGATTCGTGAGAAGGTCCTTAGGGACCTACAAAGAGTTGCTCGATGTTTCGACTGTACATGTGCAACTTCTTTGGTATTTATGTTGTCTTTTGATTAAATTAACGTCCTGCATATATATTAGGAATGAAATAATTTGAAGAACAAGTGAAAAAAAATCAAAACATGAAGACAAGTAACTTGTTATTTCTTCTAAAATTGTACAAGGTCCCTAGGGACCTTATCACTAATCCCCGTACTATATATGTTGAAATCTCAATAACTCTCGAACGTGATCCCGTATCCCTTCGAAACTTATTTTAAACGATTCAGCTTAATTTA